CATAGAAGTTCAGTTCTGGGCCACATTTTGTGCCAAAGGCCCATTTTCTTTAGTTTGTTGAGACTTTATTTGCCTTTGTGGTTTTTTTTTTCTTGCCTCTTTCTTCAACTGTGATCACACCTCCTCCTTCTACTCACACTTCATTGTTAACTTATTCCTTCTGTTCTCATCTCCATTTTCTTTGGTCAAGGGTTAAGAGATCCCAACACAGATTAAAAGAATGATATCAACATTATCAGTTGGTTCTGCTTCACTTGGCAAATCCTCTGCTTTTCAGGGATGGTATTTGATATACTGTGCTGGCTTTTTTCTTTGCAAAGTTATTTGGGGAGCTTTCTCCAAATTCTTGAAATTTTGCTGGTATTAAATTATCCCAGTCATCTCATCTCCTCACATAGAGGAGCATGCATTTATTTTAAGAAATTACATAATGGCATATTCTTCAGGTGGCTTCATCTCTCTCACTGTTCACTTCAGTGCTTGTCATTCTCCTGAGTTTTCTCTCAGATTGAACCATCTCTTGTACCCCTGTATCATCTTCTGTCTTCTCCACAGTTTGGACTGATCTTTTTAGAGCCAGGTTCTGCAGTGTGGTGACTCATCTGGTTCAGGCAAGGCCTGGAGAATTTGATCCTGCATGTAAACTGAACCTCACATCCTGCAAAAATGTACCAGAATCTTAGGACTTAACCTTATGGTCTTCATGAGGTTAAATCAATTAGATTTTCCAAGTAGAATAGACTAAACTATTTCAGTTGGAAGGGACCTACAAGGACTGTCGGGTCCAACTTGCAGACCACTTCAGGGCTTTTATGTCTGAGAAAGTCTGAAGAGAATATGCAGTGTCTTGTCAGTCCCCGTGTGTCTTGGCACAGTCTTCAATTGATTTCCCTCTAACTTCGGCCCAGTTTTTCCAGTCTTCCAAGTAGAGATGCACCAGCTAAGCTAAGATCCTGAAAAGTATTTAGATGCGTGAGTTTTGCTTAAGACTGAATTTCAATAATTTTGACCAAAGTTCCCAAGCTGGATAAGGCTGAAATCAATGCTGTTCAGGTATGGAGCTGAGAGACAGAGCCAAGCCTTCTGGCTTTGACCCACAGGCACTTGTCCATGTCTTTAATTTTCAGCATGTGGGCAGCCCTGCTGCGTTTTCTAACCTTCTCAATGTGTAGGTCTGGATTACTGTAGGAGAGCATCAGCTACACACATACAAGTATCCTGAAATAGTGAGGAATAAGGCAGCAGTCTCTTGTGTAACCACTGTGTCTTCAAAAGTAAATGTAGGCACAAGCAGTGTTTTATGTTTGATAAAGTGTCATTAGCAGAACTCCTCCTGCCAACAAATGTTCATGCCAACAACTCTGGCACAAAGTGCCACTACCAGTGATGTTCATACTCTCTGTTTGCAAACAGTACTGTAGCCTTAAAGTCACAGGCCAGTACAGTAACTTGTCGCTGGTGTGATAAACATAGGCTTGAAATAAAGTTCAAAACCAGAAAAGGATTCAATGGCTGCGAGTCAAGGGCCAAGTTAAAGTAAGTTTTCCTAAGAGCCAACTGGTCTTCTGCCAGGTCCTCTGCTTTATCCACAAACTGGTTTCCCTTTATCTGTGTTGGCATCTCTCTGCTTAGGTGGTGCCATGACTCTTTGCCAGGTTTATCTCACATTACAAAATCCTGAACACTGACTGGAGGAGGTTGAAAGGTCTCTCTTGATTTTACAGGAAATACGCCTTATTTCAACATAGCTACGGGCTTGCTATTTCTTTTTGTCATCAGTGCTGTGTTGCTAACTCTATTTATTATTAGTATTATAGTATTTGATGTCCTGTAAAACTATCCCAGCTCTCATTGTCAAGTGATTAAACAAGAATCTCAGCCTTCACTTAAAAAACACATTTACAGGTTCAGTGTTGTTGTGAAGTAATTGAAAAATACTGTTTGAAGCACCTGAAAAATAGTGGAAGTGAAGAATATTGAAAAATCTTGGAAGTGCTTATGTCCTCTGCAAAGTGAGAAATAAGAATATAAATAAAAAACAGAGTTCTCTTTTTCTTTTTCTGTGAAAGTCCCATGGTTTTTAAATTAATGTTCCTCCCAAATCTAAAGATTATCTTCAGTTAATCTTCAGTCATGTCCTCTGCTTTGACTGTTTGGGATTGATAGCATTGTCTGTGTTTTCCCTAGTTACTTATGCTGTTCTCTTACTCAAACCTCTCTTCAAAAGTAGTGGATCAAAGTGGATGGAGAATGTGGGTTTGTCTTACCACCAGCCTTCACCCATTTTCAGGTTAAAGGAGACCCACAACGGGAGCCAGTGTTGGTATTTCTCTTCCCAAGCCAGCCCACCACACTTTTTTTTTCTTCACTTTTTCATTCAGAGAAGTTCAAAAGATTCTCCTTATTTTTTGAAATTTGCTGCATTTCCCCTTGTGAATGCGAAGATTCCCCTGCCCTAGTTTGTCTAAAAAAATCCCTGACAACACTGACAGTGTGCCATCTGCAGCCCTTGGAGCATGACTGGGGCAACACTCAGCATTTACAGAAGAGTGCTGTGCTCTCAGAGGTTTGAATTCTATCCATACTAATGTTATTTATTAAATAAGTAAGCCTTTATTTCCTGATGTTTATTTATTAAAAAACATGGGTTTATTTAAAATGTTAGGCCTAGATGGGACTTAAGTGATGCATTGGCTCTGTGTTGGCTCTCATATCAGGGGTGACTTTCACTCTGTATAGTGCAAGTGGAGGTGAGGTGCTTGTGTGCCACAGCAAACACGAGAATGAAGAAGTTCTGTGGGCTCTCTGTACCAAGCATCTGTGCTCAGCTGTACTGGGCCTGAATAGGCGCAACTCT